ACACCTACACCAGTGTCTTTCAGTCCACAACACAACGGCTCAAGTGTTGGAAAGTGAGGTGGTTGCTGTCAGCCTCTGAGCACTAGTTAGTTCCACTACGACTCTGTCTGTCTGTCTGTCTGTGTATCTCTCTGTCTGTCCGTCTGTCTATCTGTGTATCTGTCTGTCTGTCTGTCTGTCTGTGTATCTGTCTGTCTGTCTGTCTGTCTGTCTGTCTATTTCTCCCTTTCATTCTCTCTCTTAATCTTTAGTTCTTTCTTTTCTCTCCCTTTCGTTTTCTTTTTCGTTGTCTCCTTCATTTCCTTCCATTCTATTTTTCTCACTGACTTGCATTTTCTTTCGTTCTCTTTTTCTATCCATTTCTCCCTCTCTCCATTTCTCTCTCAATCCACCTGTCTTTCTATCTCTATCCAACTCTTTTTCTCTCTCTTTCTCTCTATCCATCTTTTTCTCTCTCCCCCTCTCTCTTTCTCTACCTCCCATTCTCTTTCTTCTAATACTCCCCCATTAACTATTCCTCTAACAACAGAAACATTTATAGTCACAAGAATCAGAGAAAAATATTATTGGAACATAAGTCAAGTAACAGCCAAACTGACTTGACTGATTATGACACAAGAACACACAGGGGAGCAATAGGTCTTTCCTCGTACTGGGTTCTTAAAGGTTTTCTCGTAGATTCATTATACTGGGTTCTCAATACTGGGTTCTCAATACTAGGTTCTCAATACCGGGTTCTCAAAGGTTCTCTCGCAGATTCATTATACTAGGTTCTTAAAGGTTTTCTCGTAGATTCATTATACTGGGTTCTCAATACTGGGTTCTCAATACTAGGTTCTCAAAGGCTCTCTCGTAGGTTCATTATACTGGGTTCTCAATACTGGGTTCTCAATACTAGGTTCTCAATACCGGGTTCTCAAAGGTTCTCTCGCAGATTCATTATACTGGGTTCTCAATACCGGGTTCTCAAAGGTTCTCTCGTAGATTATTGATACCGGATTCACATTTAACGGATTCTTAATGACGTCTTCTTAATTGCCGGACCCGAAAACTCAAACCAATTTCACGTAAATATTTCACCATGAGACAAAATCATTCCTAAATTATCATATGCAAAATGATATTATCTTAAGAAGGGCTTTAAGACCCTCAAGAAATCAAGTTAAGTGTCTTGGATATACTGGAGAACGTCACACAAAGTAGGTCATCGGAGGTCATCAATTAATCAGGTCAATTAGAGGTCAAGTTGTTAGTCACGACCCAGCCCGCCTCCCATCATGACTGACCTCTCTTTAACTGTGCGGAAAATCCAAAAAGTGTAAAGTCTTCAAATCAGAACTGGAGTGAGCATGTGTGTGTTGATCTGAGGGAAGGAGGGAGGGAGGGAAGGTGGGAGGGAAGGAGGGAGAGAGGGAGGGAGAGCTGGAGGGAGGGAGGTAGGGAGTCACGCTGGTGGTCGGCTCGTGATAATGTCTCTCTTTTGTTGTGTAAGGGATTAATGTTGAAGTGGTGTGTGTGTGTGTGTGTGTGTGTTTGCTTGCTAAAAAAAATGCCTCCTCTCTCGTGACTCCCTTAAACTGTGATTGGATGAAACCTATATGACGTCATGTTTCTAAATACAGATCATGAAAACTCACGTCTCATATAACAAGAGACATAACGAACCAATCAAAACTGACCTAACGATCCTAAAATAACTGTGCTTGGGTTAGGTCATATAATTGAACCAATTACAGCCTGGATGAGGGGCCAGTCTCTAGCTACAGTACAATATTTACCCTAAAAAACACGAGAAAAACATGAAGATAAACACGAACAAGGTAACACACACACACACACACACTCACACATTCCTTTTCTGCAACGTGTGTTTTTCTGGTCCATCCGGGCTTTGGATCATACGTCTGGCAATGAGGTACAGGCCAGCTAAGTCTGATAGTATCTACGTCTTATTCACAAAGTTTATTTCCTTAACTTAAGATAAGAGAGCGTAGCAGCAGCGTTAGTAAAGTCTCAAAGTAATTACGATTGCATTTTGGCCAGGTTAATTAATCAGCCAGGTAAAAACAGGTGAAAATCCATCTTTATTACGAGCTTTTGAGAATCCATCTTTGTGTTAAGAGGAAAAATTCGACTTATGATCCTCTCTGGCTCTAGCTAGTGGCGGTTGTTGTGGTGACGAGGTTACTATATGTTGACATTGACATTCATTCACGTTGCACCCTCTGGCTGAGTGGCTAAGGAGATCAGCAATTACTTCTACGAGTCGTTGGTTCGAATTAAAAAAAGTAATTTATGTATTAATGTATATAATAGCGCCTTGTTTTTATGAAGTGTTTTATCACGGGGCGTATTAAGCTTTCACTCTTTTCTGTGTGTGTGTGTGTGTGTGTGTGTGTAGCTCCTGTACCTTCTTTCTCACTATCTTTCTATATGTCTCTTATCCAGTTTTCTTCTGATATTCTCTCTCTTTTAATCTCTCGTTTACTTATTTGTCTATCTCTTTTGATAAATTCTGGGTTTTTTTTATTGTCTCTCACATTCTCTTTACCATCTCACGAAATGGAGAAGAAATGCACTACTAAGCAACGGAGAGAGAGAGAGAGAGAGAGAGAGAGAGCACCACCACTACATCCACCCCATAAGCACCTACCAATACACAGTTCCCACGAGGCCAATTATCACACCTGGTGAGGGCAGCCGCAAGTGGGCAGGTGACGTCAAGGTTGGACCCGAATCATTTCACCCACTCCCCACCCACCCCACCCACTCCCCACAACCACCCCACCCCCACCCAACGACACCCCACCCCCACCCAACGACACCTCACCCCCACCCCACTTGTGTTATAATTGGGTCTGTGTTATAGTATAGAGTCATGGGAAGGTCTCATTTTCATTACAGAATTTATCAGTTCATTAGAGATAAGATGACTGTATGATGCGGCGATGGTCTTGTTGTGTGATGTAGTCGGGAAACAATATGGTACAGTAGACAGACAGACAGACAGACAGACAGACAGACAGACAGACAGACAGGTTTACATTGATCTAACATATCCTCTACAGTACATTGATTGTCCAGGTGTACAATCAATGAACATAGAGAGTACAGGTAAAACAACAATTTACATAGATCAGGTATACATGTACATAAAGAGTTCAGGTATAAAAATAATGTATTATGTGTTTTTCTCACCTTAATTCATATACAAATTATGGTTAATTAAATTTCTAAGTGCGCCATAAGTGTACTTTTCTGTTATCACCTGTTGTGTTTTCCGTTGTACTTAATATCACCTGTTTACTTTCAACGGTATTCTGTTGTCTCCTCTGTTGGTGAGATTTTGTTAATTTTAGGATTTTGTCTGTTGAGATTTCGTTTACTGTATGTCTAATGGGATTTAATTTACTTAATTTCTAATGGGATTTATTTTACTTAATGTCTGATGAGATTTTGTTTACTTAATTTCTGATGAGATTTTGTTTACTTAATGCCTAATGGGATTTATTTTACTTAATGTCTAATGGGATTTACTTTACTTAATGTTTAATGGGATTTATTTTACTTTATGTCTGATGAGATTTTGTTTACTTATGTCTAATAGGATTTTATTTACAATATGATTTCGTCTGATGAGGATTTGTACATTCTTTTGTTTTTTGTTTTTATTTCGTAAGATGTTTGGTTTATGAAGAGAGTGTGGTTATGTACAGGGCGGGGCTGTGTTGTGTGGAGTTATCAGTGTGTCACCAAACTCGCTCTAATGGTCTTATAAAACACAGCTCGTTATTACATGATTCGTGGTGACTCACTCTTGTTTGAGGGGTAAAAAACTGTTTATATTTGACTTACTGTGATGCCATGCAGTGATTAATGATATTACTACTACTACTACGGAAGAACGAGAGAATATATCCACTGTGATTACTATTACTACTACCACAACTACTACGACTACTACGGACGAACTAGAGAATATTTCCAGCTCCATACTCCCTCTCTATCTCTCTCCCTCCCCCTCTATCGCTCACTATCCCAAATTCTCCCACTCCCTCTTTCTCTTTCACCTGTGCTGCTCGCCTCACGTTTAACAAGGTAGCTTAACTGTAAATTTCATGTAGGAAGGAAAGACGATTGTTGAAACAGTCTGAGTGTAAGTGAGATAGACCAGATGAGATTTTAACGAGTGAGAATGAGAAATGAGAGAGAGATGAGAGATAAATACAAGCATGAGAGACACAGTACCGGGAGAACTATAACTTGTATTTTGTTTCTCAAGTTCAATGAGATTTTTATGCACACACACACACACACACACGCACAGAGTCAGGCACATCTTATATAATGAGTCACGGTCAGGTGCGGCAGGTGTGGGTAACCGCAGGTATCAATTTGCTCTAGTTTTCAATAATTCCCCTTCATAAATAATATACAAGTCTGACGTTGCAACACAGTCTTCTCCTCGAGGTGGAAAATGGCAGAAGTCAAAGTTGTCAACCCGAGGAAAAAAAAATAGTATTTTTCTGAATACAGGTCGTCACTGTGAAGGATTCTGAGGTCAGGGAAGCCACACAGGTGATCTCTTACACACCAAGACGTAGATTCTGGATTTATATTAACGTTATGTGAGGTTTAATGTAGAAATGACGGAAGTAGAAATATATCAGAATTATCGTAGAATCTTGACACTAACCCTTGACAGATGTAGTATTTCGTGTGTGTGTGTGTGTGGAAGGGGGGGGGGGGGTAACCTGGATCTTGTCAACTCGGTATTTTCATAATTTTGGATGAATCGATTTGATACTTGTCTTATGCCATCAAGGTCACTCAGAGATGGACCTATGCTTATAGGGGTTTACTAGGTCAAAGGTCAAAGGGCAAGATCAATAAAGATTCTCTGTGGGTCATACTGCTCTACTCAAGGCCATTACTCCTCTTCCTACTTCTACTACTACTACTACTATTATTTTCTACACATTGGACATTTAAACTCTATCCTCTTTATAGTATTTTTATAATAAAACTAATTCCCTCTCTACTTCTTTCATCCTCCATAACTTTCTTACATTTAGGGTCTTCTGAACAACACCTACATACTGTTAATTACAAGTTTATTCTACATCTTTAGAAATAAATAAAATAAATATGTCACTGATCGTAGTAGCTGGACATTCAGCCATAAGTGTAGGTGGGGATGTAGGCGGGCTGAGGGGCGGGGTACTTGACCTGTCGGTAAGTCACCTCGGCCACGTAGCCTGAGTCACCGTCCACGTAGTAAGTAACAGTTTGTAAACGACCGTCGGGGAGTAACACGGAGTACGACCCTCGGGTGTGGTCGCCATCTCGGGTCTCCTGATGGGTGAAGTCGTTCTCGGAGTAGTCATCCTTAACAGACCAGTCGTAGTTGTAGTTGACGGGTGCCTGTAGAAGGATACCTATGTTATTACTTCTGTACTTATTAGATAAAGGAATTACGTCATTAAGGATGAATTCAATTTTGACTTTGAATTCACATCTAAAAACTAAACAAACGTGAACAATAACTTCTTAATATAAATAACACAAGATACAGACACCGGTTCACTAAAACCCAAACAACCGACCATGAAAAGTTGAGAAAATTTGTAGAAAGTCGATAAAGTGTTACTGGCGTCTGCTGCTGCGGTTTATCAAATGGCTGACGAATATGTGTCGGAACTGATGTAAACTCTGAATTGATATAAGTTTTGGGGTTGCTGCCTGACTTTGTTGACAATGACACAGTTGGTGATTCTTACCTCATAGGATGTAACTGGATTGTAATACGTGGGTGACTTGTTGGTGGCTGCTGGCTTGATGGATGACGCCTCTGGTTGGTTTAATGGGAGTGGTTGTGGTAGAACTGGCTGATGATCCAATAGAACTGGCTTTTGTAATATAACTGGCTGGCTTAGTGAGACTGGCCTGAGGGATAAAGCTGGTCGCTTGAACGTAGCTGACTGTGGTGATAGAACTGGCTTGTTTAATAAGAGTGGCTTTATGAACGTTGTTGATTCACTTGAAGAGGCTGGCCTAATGAACTCTGGAAGCTTGTATGCTCTGGCGAAGGAGGAGATGGAGGTGTAGGAGGAGATGGATTCCTGGGGCGGGGCGGGGGTGGGGTTGTATCCGAAGAAGGGGTTGGGTCCTCCTGGGGCAGCCACGACGGAGGCCACCAGAGGCAGAAGGAGGGCGGCCTGGGGTACCAAGATATTGTAATTACTGATTTGAAACGAGAATTTTGGGCTAATCTAACCTAACCTAACCTAACCTAACCTAACCTAACCTAACCTAACTCAACCATAACATCAACACTAACCAATACTCACTAATAACCACTCACGTAATAACACAAATGAACACGACTTTAACATTAACGACTCAATTAAGATCGAAGCATGATTCAGTTGTACCATAAGGGTGATTCATCTGTAGGAAAGGCATTACAGATCTGCCCTTCTCGACACTCTCTGATGAAGCCAGTTGGTAATGGTTCAGTGGTTCATTGTTGTTGTGTTAGATTGAGTGGGTTTTAATATGCAGTGATGGTTTGGTTATCTGGGAGTGAGTGAGACATCTTGGATAGAGAGAGAGAGAGAGAGAGCCAGCACCCTATTACATTGAATAAAGACTATAATTATACGCTAGTCACCTGTCACACCTTAAGGGCCTCACCTGTTCAGTACCTGTTCACTCTCGTCATTATTTCTCGTTTCAACACCAGCCAGAGAGTGTTTCTCTCTCTCTCTCTCTCTCTCTCTCTCTCTCTCTTTCTCTCTCTCTCTCTCCCTTTCTTTCTCTATCTTTTTCCTCTTCTTATGTTTTTCTTTCTATTTCTCTTTTTCTCTCCTTTTCTTCCTTCAACTATTTGTTTATTCTTTTCTCACTCTTTCTTTCTCTCTCACTTTCTTTCTTTGTCACTTTCGTTCTCCCTATTTGTGCCTTTTCCTCACTTTCTTTCTGTTTTCTTTCTGTCGCTCAAAGGCCATGTGTAACATCTCTCCAACTCTCAACACTTTAGTCAAGGTCCATCTCAAAGGCGGTGTGAGAATCATTAGTCATTAACGAAATACTTCGAGGCTAAGACTTATTTCTCTGACTCGTAAATATAAACAAAACATAATGGAAGGAATAGGCCCCATATGCCTGACTGCCCGCTAAGGACACCTCACTGTACTCTAGGTCTCCAGGACGCAAGGGGACAGTGTAGCTGGCACTGCACTTAACTGTCTTTACATCCCCAACTGTGAAATTAGATACCCATTTACCGTTTGGATTGACTGGGAATACACTGAGATCGAACCAGAAACTCTTACGATAGGAGGTGAGTTCTATGTCCACTACGCCGCCGCCGCACTTCAAAACAACATCCAAGCACATACAAGACTATCAACCCATTTTGTTATAGGAAAGCAAAAGTAAACATCATTTTTTTAAAGTTCCCGGCCATAAATCCATAGAAAATGGCAAGCTAGTAGAACAGAGTAATGTATCCCGGTACAATAGCAGGTTAGTAGGTTAGGGTAATATATCTAGGTAAGTAGGTAAGGCTAGTACGTCCCTAGATGGTAAATAAACATTGGCACAATACCTTCATGGTGGTGTTATGACGAGGGTCGGAGTGAATGTGTGTGTGTGGCACCTCAACTTGCATTATATACCCGACCTCTTGCCCTACAGGTTACTCCTGTTAGCGGTGAGAGGTGGGGGGTGGGGGGTGGACCGGGGTGGGGGAGGAGATAGGGCAGGAGGGATGGTAGTAGTAGTAGTAGTAGTAGTAGTAGTAGTAGGAGGGATGGTGGTGGAGGTGGAGATTGGGATGGTGGTTAGGGGTGGGGGTCATATTGGCATCCATCTCTCGGGGTCACAACTGCAGGTCACTGGTGGTGCCCCTCCCATCTGAAATACCTTGGCCTGCAACATCTACTGTACATACCACCACCACTACTTGACCGCAGGGTATGTGCCCGAGGTGTTAATGTTACAGTAGAAGTGTACTGTATTTGTTATGGGAAGCGAGGGGATAGTACCATTATTACCCGATACACATCGTCTGTATTTTGCGGTTACTGTGGGCGTTTGTGTGGGGTGGGAATTTGGCGTGGGCGTTGAGGTGGGTTAAGGTGAGTTAACGTGGGATTTACTTAGTTACCGTGGGTGTACCCAGTTACCGTGGGTGTACTCAGCTACCGTGGGAGTACTCAGTTACCGTGGGTATACTCAGTTACCTCGTGTGCTCATAGTTGTGAGTATTCATAATTGCCGTAGACGCTTGGGGGCAAACTACCACCACTGCCACCACTACCTTGCCCGGGGTCACTACAGCTCTGGGAGAAAGGACCAATGATAACCTGTTTTTTTAATCACGGTAATGAGTGTTATCGTGTGTGGGAATGGTGAGTAGGTATTGGTACCAGTAAGCACAAACATCGAGGCCTGAGCTTCCATCTGTATGTGTGGGATCCTGACTTGCTTGTATGTGTGTGTGTATAGCTGTCTAATCTTGGTGTGTTTGTGTTTATGTATGAGTGTGTTTGTCGGTATGAGGGAGATTATCATATACGTAAGTACACTAGGAAGTATATATGGAATAAATAAATACACACATACATACAGACAAATATTAGTTGCTTGAGGAAGAATTTGTGAAGTGAATTATTACTGTAAGAATCTGTAACTTTGTACAGGTGTCATATATTTCATTAACTTTGTGCAGGTGTCATATATTTCATTAACTTTGGACAGGTATCATATATTTCATTAACTTTGAACAGGTGTCATGTTTCATTAACTTTGTACAGATGTCATATATTTCATAAACTTTGTACAGGTGTCATATATTTCATTAACTTTGTGCAGGTGTCATATATTTCATTAACTTTGTACAGGTATCATATATTTCATTAACTTTGAACAGGTGTCATATTTCATTAACTTTGTACAGATGTCATATATTTCATAAACTTTGTACAGGTGTCATATATTTCATTAACTTTGTACAGATGTCATGTATTTCATAAACTTTGTACAGGTGTCATATATGTCATAAACTTTGTACAGGTGTCATTAATTTTCACACCAATATGGTCACGACAGAATATAATCCATGAGACAGGATGTGATTGTGATGGCCGGACACCTGGTACAGGATGTGTCAGTCTAATTAGCACGGTGTATACCTGGCCCGACACACACACACACGCATATTCTCTCTCTATATCTCTCTATCTCTGACTCTCTCTCTGTGTCTCTCTCTGTTTCTGTCTCTCTCTGTTTCTGTCTCTCTCTGTTACATAAGTTACATCAAGGTAAAGAGACACCTCAGATAGTAGGGGAGATTGACGACGTAAAACAGGTGTGAATAACGATAGTAATTTGCCGAGACAAAACACACACACACACACACACACACACACACACACACACACACACACACTAATCCTAAGCCACCTACTCAATACCCAACACCTGAGATCAATACACTTATACTAAACGTGAATCATCAAATTCTTCCACGCTAACAATAACACTTACATTCTTTAGTATACAATCTGTACTATCATGCCTCTCACGATACTAATGACACTATACGTAATGTTATGGGAGAATATCGTGTTAGTTGGTTATTACACGCTATCGACGAGATGATGTAAGTAGATCAGTCATTGATGTTTCTCACTTAAAAAACCCTCACAGCTTTGAATATTTATCTCTGTCTCTCTCGTTCTCAGTCTCTCTGTCTCTCTCTCTTTTCTTCTACGTGTTGTGAAGGGTGTTCGTGAGGGAGGCTCCAGAAGAAGCATGGGGGAATTATTAACAGTGGCGTCCAATGGGAGGGATGGAAATCGTGAAGCTGGAACCCGGAATTAATGCCGTCGAGAACTAATAATAGCTACCTTGGGAGGGTGAGAGTAAGGGGATGGGGGCAAGGTTATGGTGTATAAAGATACACTAAGGAGGTGGACGACTTTGTGGCCCTGTAGCGTGACAGTGAGATGATGGGGACGAGTTTGTGGCCTCGTAGCGGGATAACGAGGTGATGGAGACGATATTGTAGCCATGTAGCATGATATTGACGTGATAGAGACGATTTTGAGGCCCTGTAGTATGACAGTGAGGTGATAGGGATGACTTTGTGGCCCTGTAGAGTGACAATGAGGTGGCCATGTAGAGTGACAGTGAGGTGATGGGGACGACTTTGTGGCCCTGTAGAGTGACAATGAGGTGGCCATGTAGAGTGACAGTGAGGTGATGGGGACGACATTGTGGCCATGTAGCACGATACTGAGGTGGTAGGGACGAGTTTGTGGTCCTTTAGCGTGACAGTGAGGTGATAGGGACGTCTTTGAGGCCGTATAGAGCGAGAGTGAGGTGATAGGAACGATGTTGTGGTTCTGTAGCGTAATACTAAGGGGATAAGGACGACTAAGCACCAACTGAGGGTGAAACTGAAGGCGCAGATGAAAGTAAACTTTATCTGATGGCGTTAATACTTTGGTGATTCTTAGGTGATTTATTGGTCCTGGAGGCGATTTTCTGGCTTAAAAGTATTGTTAGGAACGACAGTGACACATTGAGACCGGAACTGTTGCAATCTAGCTGTCATCTTTACTCATCTTCTTCGTTTTTCGTGTTTAGTTGACCAAAGGAAAATGATAAATGAAAACTAAAGATATGGGAGATGATGATATAGTATGATAATGGTGGAAGAAATGCGAAGAAAAGGTGGCGAAAGTGTTGAAATATTATGTAAAAAATATGATACACACACACACACACACGCACACACACACACACACACACACACACACATACAAGGTAATATTAATAGAGGTGTTCACACGGCCAGGTGTTGCCCTTCACCTGTCATCACGGGGCGGACATTCTTGCACTGTTGATCTAATTCTTCATACCCCAGTGCTCTCCCTCACTCTCCCTCTCTCACACACACACACACTTTCCCTCTCAATCTTTCACACACCAGCCTCCACACACCCTCCCCACCCTCTCGTCACACACCTCCCTCCTCGCTTGCACCCACCTCTCCCCCTACCCCACCCCTCCTCCAACCCATCCTCCTCCATCCTCCCCCACCCCCCTACACCCCCCACACACCTACTGGTCATGATGAGAAATTATTATCAGATACACAACACCTCAAGTGAGAAATAGATAATTTAATCCTCAGGCTCGCAGGTAAGATAATTAACACAGGTGTATATATAAAACACCTTTATACATTTATATAAAATAAGTAACAATGGAAAAAAAAATATAATGATAAAAATGGTGTTATAATGTGTGATCACCATGACAAGTCTTCTCACCATTGCTTAACTTAGGTCACCATCATCATCATCATCACTATCACCAATACGTTGATATAAAGTTTTAGGTCAATTGTTAATGAACGTGAAGCTCTTGAGTAAGGTTCATGGATGAGACTCACGACACACACACACACACACACACACACACACACACACACACACACACACACACACACACACAGGTTTTAACTCTCTGTATCATTCATTGTATTTATATCATATCTCTATTATTATTATTATTATCTTTTATTGGTCTGTTGTTAAAAGTCTCCCTCGTTTACTTCATCATCATCGTCATCATCATCATCATCATCATCATCATCATCATCATCATCATCATCATCTTTCCTGAGTGCTTCTGAATGAACTAATTTCACCTCTCCATCACTTAATTAGTCTACAACACTACATATTATTACTTAACTTCAACTAATCGTCAATGTGAAGCTTCAACAAGATTCACCAAAAATATTTCACAAGACTCAGGTATCAAAGCGGATTTATTAACACAAACTCGGGAAAGTAAACCACAAAATATTACTTCACGTTAGAATGATGGCGAGTATGAGGCCTTTCAGTCACCAGGTAATGAGTGTGTCAAGGTGTGTCAAGGTGTGCTCACGAAATTTGAAATGTATATTGATGTGGGTTACGGAATAAACCAGTTTGTTTCAATTATGTAAAGTTTCGTTTTTCTGGTCCAGATTACAGTGTGGGCCGCTGCTGACCCCAAGACCCGCTGGCCAAGACTCCCGACCGTCATATGTCATAGTCGTGAGCAGGTGGGAGCGTTCTGATGGGTATCACCTGTGTGGGGGAGAGTGTGTGGGAGAGAGTGTGGGAGAGAGTGTGGGGGAGAGTGTGGGGGGAGTGTTGGAAGTGTGGGTGAGGGAGAGGGAGAGAGAGGAAGAGTGTGGAGGAGAGTATGAGGGAGAGTGTGTGTGGGAGAGTGTTGGAGAGTGTTGGGGAGAGTGTGGGGGAGAGTATGAGGGTGTGGGAGAGTGTTGGGGAGAGTGTGGGGGTGAGTGTGGTGAGAGTGTGGGGGAAAGAAGTGAGGAAGAATGTGGGAGAGAGTGTGTGGGAGAGTGTGGGAGAGAGAGTGTGTGGGGAGAGTGTGTGTGGGGGGAGGTTTGGGGAGAGAGTGTGTGGGGAGAGTGTGTGTGGGGGAGAGAGTGTGTGGGGAAGAGTGTGTGGGGGAAAAGTGTGGGGGAGAGTGTGAGGGAGAGTGTTGGAGAAGAATGCTGGAGGAGAGTGTTGGTGTATATGACTCCACAAAATGTTCCCGTGTAATATACTGAGCTGCAGGCATCTATATTAAACAGTTTCACACCAAAA